CAAGTTTACTTCTAGTTGGTAAGACAAGGCATTGGCGATCGGGGGGGCGGCTGAGAGGAAATGGCAAACTGTTTCCTTTTCTGGGATGAGCGGGTTACCATCCAGGTCCAATTCGTTCATTTTTCGTCCGGGACACACGTAATTATGTCGAGCTCACATAGTCTGCCAGTTCCAAGAAAGGTGTCCGGCCGAAAACCCTCCAAAACGCCGTAGAAGGTTTCTCTTTGCGTCTCCAGTTCGCGGAGAGTGACCGTTTCTCCACGCGGAGTCGCAGGTGTGGCACCGGGACCACCCCATCTCGGATGAGGGGGTCCTGCAATCGCAGCGGCTTAGAGAGAAGATTCGACAAGCAAGGTGAGGGCAGTTGAGAGCCGTTTTTCGGGCACTTCGGGGGGAAGATGGTGGAGAAGATTCCGAAGTGGTGCGCGGGGAAGGTGGAAGTCAGCAGCTTAGAATTTGATATCCTTTTGAGTTTCGAGACAAACTAGAATTTGCTTTGGGGTTGTTCACCCCAAGGTGTACTAAGGACTACAAACGATTGTTTTTGTTGAAAGGGACGCTGGGAGCGTGCATTTTTTCCTTGTTGCAATTTACCAACTATGAGATACAACATGATCAACTAAGGATGATTTGAATGAAACACTTGAGTACAGAGTCAAACAAATACTATTAAACATTCAACATTTGGAAGGTAGAACATCCCAGTTAAAATTGCACAAATATATATATATATAATTATAGCAATTCACTTCGATAAATATGACCCAACAAAAACACATAATTATACTTAACTACCTAAATGGATTAAACTAAAAAACGTATATGTTCAAACATTAGTGTATAATACAGTTACTAGAAACGATGCTCCACTACAACAAGCTAAATGATAATATATTATTAGCCTAATATTTCCAACAGGAAACAAGGACATAGACCGCTTTGAACAAAAACAGTGGTTTAGTTTCAGTACACGCCTTGGAACCTGACAATGAATTAAATGATGACAAGGTCATCAAGCACAGAGCTACGAAGGTGAAGAATGCTAAATAGCATATTGATTCATTAAAGGTTTATGATGACAATAGCAAGTGTCACTACGCAATCATCAAGGCCACTCAAAAATCAAATGAAGAGTGACAACACCCCCAAACACAGTTGTAGGTACTGCACTCATCACAAAAACCTAAAAGGATTTGCTGGATAAGCATCATGAACATGGATGTTTGGCAGTAGGACAACAATCGAAAGTACCAAAGAAAGGTGAGTTTATTCAATTTACCATAGCCATGCTAAAGCCTTCTGAGCACAAGCAAAGACTATAGTGAGATATTAGTAAAACGGTGAAAAAAGCGCATGCTCAGAGCGTCCTGTTCTGTTTCTCCTTATTTCTTAGAACACTTCGGCCGATGACCGGCCGAAACCAGTTGGTTTCGGTGCGGTTGGGTCTCAGTCCACTAGCCGAACTCGAAAGAGTGACGTTCGATGTTAGAGGTGCTCTTCTGTGTTCTGTGGCATCCCAAGGTGTTCTGATGGAAAAACGTCACGGCGTGACGACGTTGACCTCGTAGGACCGGTCCTTCAGAACCCCATCGGTTCTCATCGCTGTTCGACGTTCCAATCGGATCGACCGAGCGTTGAAGCTTCGGATCGACCGAGTCGACCGAAGGCTTCCGGTTGGATGAGGCATCGATGAGCATCGTCACGAAAAAAAGGGGTGGGCCAAGCTTACATCATCTTCCAGCTCTTTCCTTCCCCAATCTTGAAAAGGATGCTGTTGCTCAAAGCAATCACACGTGACGACGAAGAAACAGTTACTTTGGTAAAACACACACACACACACACGCCATGCAAGCTTGAAAACGCCTGCGATAGACAGCTCTGGGCAAGTTTCCTCACTGGTTTCTTTGACATACTTTGGATTTGGGAGGATTCCCTGTCACCCACGTGATGTAGTATACTTATTCATGTGTTTTCTTCCTCCACTGCATGATGAACAGGTTAGAGCAGTTGCACCACAAAAGCGACCAAACCCACGATCAGTGCCACGATCATTTGCAGGTGCCAAGGCCACGATCACTTCCATTCAGAGTCTGAAGAGGACATGCCTAGGAGGCGCCGTGGTTCTTTATCTTTTTTGCGAAAAGAGATGGCAAAGGTATTCCGATGGGTGGTGTGGTGTTTGCATGTTTGGCACCTCCGGAAACGCGCGTCGACCCGCTCTGAGAACGAGAATCTAAGTTGAGTGAATGACTTCGAGAACAAAGCATCGAAGATGCAAAAAGAGCCTCTCCTTTGGGTGGTCCGAATGTTTTTTTTGGAAAACATCGCCGCTCCGGAGCCGTCGGCAAATTTGGTCCGCCCACTTCTGGGGTGAAGGATGTGAAGGGGCTTCTTTGAAAGGGCATCAAAACCTCTCCTTCCCGCCCCCAGTGACTTCAACTTGCCGTGCAGAGTGTTTTTCGGAACCCATGGTTCCGCCCCAGACACATGTTCGAAAGAAAGCACCCCTTTTTTTGTGCAGTTCGAAAGAAGTTGTGCTTGTCATCGCGTTCCTCAAGATCTATTTACAAACACCATGCCAAGCGCGCCGGACAGTGCACGCCCATGCCAGTGCCTAGGGCCCATGCCACCACTGGGCCCTTCCAATCAACGCCCCTTCCAACGACGACCCGTTCTCCGAGTGGCCAGGCCCGAGGAGGAGACGCGGATCCGACGCTTCTACGATCGCTTCCTCGAGTCCACCCAGTGGGACTTGGGCGGAAGGGAGAGAAAAGAAAGGGTTTGGGAGGTGTTCGCGATTTCGCCGCCTGGTTTGGGAGTGAACACTGGTGGGACCTTGGGGTGAACAGTTTTCGCGCTCGTTGGACTGGAATCGGTTTTTGGAAACCGATGTCTCATCCCTTTCGATGGCTCTGTGTTGAGCCTCCCTTTCGATGAAGCGATGGATGGATCCAGTCATCCGATCTCTTCGCTAGTTCAGACGCGACGCGCCTGGCCGCCTAGGGCCTGTCCAGTCTAGGTCAATCTACTGCTCACCTTTGCTGCGGGCACTGCAGACAGCACATTTTGCCTTGTCCGATCAAGACGGTTGGGGCTCCATCAAGCTTCTCAAGGAGGCGAGACGAAGCAGTGAGTGAGCAAGGGAGCTGGACAGGTGAGAAAGAATCACAAGCTTGTCAACCAGCTGCCACCAGCTTGTGCTTGTTTTGGGTTTGTTTCGCTGTAGACTTGCATTGAAGGCTAAAACAGAGGTGAATCCAGACCACCAGAAACTCACGCCCCCCAAACAATGCCGATGGTCACCGCATCAGACACTCTCTCGTTGTTTTCCTTTTTTTGTCCCCACCCCCCCAAAACGGCCGCCTTCTTCTCTGGCAGCCCACGGCCGCCGGCCTTCTCTCGGCCGGGTTCCAGGCGCGGGAGCACTTCAACTGGGTCTTGCAGCGAGATTGTTTGGGCACAGATACCGGATCCTTGGACCAAAACACGGCCGTTCGTCCGTTCGTGCGCGCACGAGACCGCTCGGTGGGTCGGAGCCGCGCACGGTGGAGACGCTCAGCCTCCATCTTTCCAGGATGAAGGGTCTCGGTCGCGGCAGGAGTTTGGAAGGATGGTTTCGTTGGGGGTGGACTTGCAAGGAGTTCTTTTTTGGTGCTTCTGTGTTTTCGTACTGGTAGCTTGCCAGAGAGGAACAACGAGGGCGGACACAGTTTGCCTGAAGATAGCCGCTTGGAAACTAAATCAACGCTCTAGTCCCCTATAGGCCTATATAGGTTTGATTCTCCAGAGGGGAGGGAGGGCGCCCATCTTCACGAAGGACACTTGTGGAGGGTGAAGGAAACTCTCCATCTCCAACGAACCTGTGGGCATTGATAGTAGCAGCTACTTCAAGAAGTTCCACCTCCACCCCAAGCCGTTTGGAAGCGCCCAAAAGCACCGCGCCCCACCGGCCTTTTGACCTTCATCACCCGTCCCATACGGGGCGCCCAAACAGGTGCCCGGGCGCCCCGACTCCCTTCCCCCCGATCTCCCGACTCGACTTCCGTCGTGACGACGTCCCGGGACGTCGTCGATGGCGCCGAAGGTTCCAATTTGGTCGACCGCGCGGTGACCATGTCCAAGTCGCTTCTCTCGGAGGCCGAGACCGACCAGTGCGGAATGCCCAGAGACAGCGACGGTCGAGCGACGAGAGCGACGAGAGGGGGTGACTGGAGGGGGGGGCGGTTGGAGTTGCTTTTTTGGTGATTCTTTGGTCCCGTGACTGGAGGTGATTGGATAACATTGCCACATTGCTTTGATGAAGAGAATCTATCACTCAGCCTCGAGTGTTTTTTTCTTCCTGATTGAAACAATGAAAAACACTTGAACCGAGGTTCACGCATCTCACCCCTCACTAAGATGAAAAGAGCGTCGGCCTAATGGACAGTGCTCTGGTCAATCCACCTCTGCAAAGAAACTTGTGGGACTCAAGACTCAAGGACTCAAGTTGAATCGGACCTCAAGGACTCAAGACCCTGTTGACTTGCTATCTCCAAGGACTCAAGACTTGGACTTGGATCGAAGCCACCTGCCCCCTGCCCCCGCCACCGTTTCGCACGCGCTCTGAGGCTCGAGACGCGGGTGGATGCCTCGGACTGCGAGGAGAAGTGGTGGAGTGACGATCCCGAGACCGAGGCGCCGGACACTGCGGTGTGTGGGCACCGGTGGGACGCTCTGCGTTAGCGCGCTTAGCGCGGGTGGCGGGGTGGCGGGGTGGCGGTCGGGTGTTGCTCATGTGGAGCGAAGGAGTGAAAGCCTTCGGAAAAGGCGAAGACTTCGGAGGTTGGGGAGGTTCGGGGCGGTCCGAGACGGACGAGTGGAGTGGGTGGTTTCGAGGTGAAGAGTGGGTGACGGGAGAGTGGGTGATGGCCGGGGGGAGTGGTTTGGGATGAAGAGGAGTTTTGATCCATTCGGCTGCAGAGTTCTTCTTTCAGGGTTGTGGGTGGACTTCGAAGTCCTGTTTTTCCGCAAGAACATGGGGTTCACAGCTAAAGTTATAGATTTTGGATGTTTGTTGAGAACACACTTGCACTAGCACAAAGGTTTTGAACACATCCGTGCAAGAGCTGCTCCGATGACACCACTAACTCATGCATACTCCATACATGCGTGCTTCCCCCACCTCCCGTGCGCCCAGGCGGACGTCGATCGGCGGCTGCAGGAACTCTGGCGTCGGCTTTTGGATGACGCCGCCCGTCGAGATGAAACGAAAGCGGGCGGAGAGGAGAGGATCGGCGGATCGGGGGCCCGTGGTCGATTGCCAGTGAGGTGATGGGAAGAGTTGAAGAGCAGTCCTTCCAGTTTGGCATCCAAACATGCACATTGACCTGGAGGTGTAATTCGGTTAAGGACTTGAGAATCTACACAACCTCCAGTTGGCACCAGGACATGCTCCTAATGCCACCACCTGCCACGCACTAACGCTGAGGACGCGGAAGACAGTTGCATTTTGGTGACGCACTCCAACCTGATCAAGGCCGGGGATGCGCAACACATTCACTTGCTTTTGTTTTCCAGGTCACGCGCCCAACTGCACCCGCACCCCGCACCGGGGGTGAGGGCGATGGACTGCAGTGACGTTCGGTGTGACAACTGCGTTTTCCATGTTTCATTATTCGAAGTGTGAAGACATACTATGGACCCGTGAGCTTGAGGAAACGTTGATAGGAAAGCAGGTAGGGCCCTCACCTACCCAAATGTAGCAAGCTTTTGGAATTGCCTTTTGTATTGTGACGATCTTTAGATGACTTGCAGTGACAAAGTAGATCATGGAAAAGAGACAGAGTGGACAAGACAAGTCCATCCAAATTGACCGAATTGATAGAGTCCCGCGCACCAATCACCCGGCTGCAAAAGACTCGCATGCAGAGGTTGGAGGGGTCCTCTTTTTGTCAATTTGTCAGCTTCCAGACGTGTTACACGCTTTGTCATACACTACGAGCAAGTTTTTCTTGGGGGAGACAGCAATTTCAACACAACGACTGGGGTTTGGCAGCAACATGCAGTCTTTGCCCTCTACTAGCGTAGCTATCCCATTGTGATAGCTCCCATCCCACCTCCTGGTTACTTACCGAGCCGAAACAACTCCTGCAGCCAGCCCTCGGTCCTCGGTGCACCGGAGGTGCTGTTGGAGGTTGAAAAGAGTACCTCATGGTTGGCCTCCCCCATCTCGCCTCGGGGTCTCCACATCCACCGTGCTCCTCAAGAGTCGACTCTTGGTGGAATCATCGCCAGTTGAATGGAACATCCTCTTCAACCTGGGGGGTTTATGGTCCTCAAGAGTCGTTCAATGGAGGCGCTTCTGATGAGATTTGGAGGCGTCACTGGGCCGCAGCAGTCGGCACCGCACCGTGGCACTGGGAGTTTCGACCGTCACTGGCAGGTGTTGGACAAGGCGGCTGGACGAGGTCCAACAGTCAGGGCAAATGCCCTAGCCTAGGAGTCCTGACTCATGACCCATTGATTCCATGGGTTTTCTCTCAACAACCGGTGCGAAGTGATGAAGTATTGTCACTACAACACCAGGTCAACCGAACTCCTTGAATGGTCGAAGAAAACCAGGAGGATGTTTAGGGAGAAGTTTGGACCATGAGATCCTCGTGACTTTCGGAGTTGGGGAGTTGGGATGGACGGGAGCAGGTCAACACAGAAAGGTATTGCTTTCGTGCACAGAAAGAGAGTTTCCCCTGAAGAGAAGAGCAGCAACTTCAACTTGCAGCATGAAGGGGCGGAGATCGGTGCCGCGGATCTTGGGTTCGGCCTGAGGGTTGATGTTTCACTCAGGAGGCAATTGTGTTTGAGGTTGGAGGCCATCGCTAGTAGAGAGAGAGAGAGAGAGAGCGCACCGTTGGACGATCTGTTACTCAAAGCTTGCTCAGGTCGAGCATTCTCTCTTGGCTCTCAGAGCAGAGGACTTCGAGTGGAGGGGAGTTTTGGGTGTGCAGGTGTGAGTAGATGAGAGAAACACCTCGTGCCAGGGTGGGTTGTGGGTGTATGAGGACAGCATGGCATGCTGAAATGTTTCTTTTTTTGACGGTTGGGAATGCAGTGAACGTTTGCCAACATATCAGTGTTTGGAGACAGAAAACAGACACTTGCATCCGTTCCAATGTCTATTTGGACCGAGAAGTCTATCATGTTCAAGCATAATTACATGCACATACACACATGATGCAACACTCAAAAGTGTAAATGAACAGCTTGGACTGGTGCCGCAGTGCCCTCCAAATTGGATGGTATTGAGTGTTGAGCCACTGATGTCGGTCATCCTTACCATAAATAAGCATTGGGATTCCTTTGTGGGCAGCGATTCCTGCCGTAGGACGTGGCTTGCAACTAGGCTGCAGTGGATTTGTTGATACCCTGGTTGTCCCTCCCAAGAAAAACCCTCGTTTGGTCGAAATGGCACACCTCCCTGGGTCAAGCCTTCGTGGTAGACGTCTTGAGATCTGTTTTATTCGTCATCAAGCTCTTGCATGATCAAAGTCAAAGCATCCAAGTTCGCCGCTGCAATACCTCAAGAAGGGAGCCCATTTCTTGAAATCGAGAGGCACGTGTGGCCCCTGTCTGTGAAGGCGTTTGAGCGATGCCCCGCTCGTAACTGGCCATGTGGATCTCAAAGAACATGAATCAACCACTGCCCCACACTGACTGTCAGGCGCTGGGTATGCCTTTGAAGTATTTTCTTGAACGTGTTTACAGTTCAGAGGTTCTTGGGTCATGTACAGTCTCTCCGATGAGAGTGGTGTTTGTGGATGGTGGAGTCATGACTAGTCATGGTGGCATGCTGTTTGTGGCCTAGCCTGCCTTGCTTGAACCCACCTGACCATTGGTGCGATGACCATGGGTGACGTCTCACCCTCACAACACCACAACGTCGGTGCCATGGTGATAGCTTCGCGCCAGTGGCCAAACCGAAAGAAGACCGTGGGGTTCGAGACCGTTTCGCGGAGTCAAAGCAACAGATCCACTGAACCCGAAGATCGTCTCCCACGAGTGTTAAGTCTTTTCGATGGCTGCTAACTTGATTAAGTAATTTTCTATAAGTTTAGCATCTGCCGTTCAATCGGATAGCCACCAAGAGACTGAGATTCTTGTCGATGGCGCCGAAGGAATACCAGACCCAGTAAAAAGAACCACGTGCGTGATAGTAATGGAATGAAATGGAGAATGAAGCCTTGAGTCCGCGCCAAGAAACACAGGCTATATATATAAATATAGATAATTTTTTTCCAAATGTTCCATTGCATGCCAGAGGATTCCGGAAGCAAGAAGGGGGGCGAGGTCCGAGACTCATCTCCACACGTGAAGGTCGGTCATTCCGGAACTTTGGACCAAAACGACCCGAAACGAGCGACCCGTAGAAACGGGAGCCTTCAGCTGAACGAGATCCTTTCGGATTCGAAGCGAACCAAACGCTTTCTCCGTCCGGTCCCACGGTGAAAAATGGTTCCTCCTCCCAGGCGACGTGGCGTCGCCGTCCACGGTGGCGTCCGAGGAGGAGGTGGGAGCCAGGGGATGGGTCGACCCAGAGGTGGAGCATTTGGAGGGAAAAGCATATGATATATGTTGATTCTAAGGGCATTCACTTCGTCCACAGGGCATTCATTTCATCAACAGGGTATTCAGTTTTGTAATGTTGTCTGTGTGGAATGATGGGACCCACTGAGGAGCTTGTTAGGGTGGGGTTGGCCGGTCTCAGTTTAGCTCAGTCCCTGCGGCGCTTTTCAAGATAGATAGCTCAGCCGCTGGACAATGCAGCTTGTTAGGGTGGTTCTTTGATCAGCATACACTCCGTGCAACAAACATGGTTCCGTGCACAGCACTGGTTGTAGAGGATTTCATGGTCTGAAACCAGGCGCGAGGACGTCCTGGACCACGTGGACCACGTGGATCAGAATCCAGACTCGACGATAGACACGGTGATTCCGATGGTGACCTTTTAGACCGAAGCGAGGTGAATTTGAGAGAAGACAGGTTTGATCTCCCAAACCTCCAGAACGATGCGTTCGCTTTCCCATAGTCCCAAAGCACTTTGGGATCTCCAAGAAACGAGGGCTCGACTCGTTCAGCAAAGCGTCGAAGCGACTCGTTCCGTTCGTTCGCTTCGAAATCCACCGGTCATTTGGGCCTTCTGGATCCGAAGCCGGAACCGGATCCTCTGAGAGCAGGAGTTGGGATTGAGAGCAGGCACCCCATCCCTGGCCTAGGAGGTTGATATGATGGACCCCCCCATCTGATAGACATCTTGTGGTGCCTGAAACTGTGAAATGAGGTGACGGGTGATGATTGGTCTGTGGTTTCCTCCTCTTCTGAGCATTTGCTGGGGTGTTGATAAACCCCACAGATGGCAAGCATTGAAGGACCTGTCCGAGTTTTCTTGCGATTCACAAGTGGTGAGAGGACCTACACTCGCTTTTCATTTGGTCGATGAGGGTCATTTCGTGGCTGAATGGTCATTTAGTACTGCTTGGGATGGGTATGTGAATACCTTCCCCGCCCAATGCACATGTTGTGAGTGACAACAACACCTCAAACTGTAGGGATTCCTGTCGATCGGGTTCGTCTCACTCTCTCCCATTACCTCGTTTTTGAGGGCCTTTCTTTGGGCCGGTACGGTGCTGAAACAGGTGCTTCGGAATCTGCACTTCAACATCTCTTTGGACCCCCCCCCGTTCTTTCTTTTTCCTCTACCCGGCCTGGTCCCAGGTGACCTGACTTACCTCAACCACCATGGGGACGATGGGGTCGCCGACCCGAGAGCCGGAACCGGTCCCGTGGTCGTCGTGGTCGTCTCCAGGACGGATATCACTGCCTCACCTCCGAGGGCGGCGCTTCCTGGCACCTCGGTCGAGCGAGAGAGCTGGGCGGAAGCGGGCGCGCGGGGGGGGGAAGGCTCTGCGTGACGGCCCGTTCCAAGCCGGGGGTTTCCAAACCGGGAAGGCAAAACGAGTGAAGGACCCCAAACAGCAAATTCTTTTGATACTCTAAGGGTTTCAGGCGGAGTCTGGAAGGCGTTTCCACTCGTCCCAGAGCTTTCCTGGTCAATGCCAGGCAGGTGGTTGATTCTGGACCACAGGACCTGCAACGCCTCAAGGTGCGCCTCAGTTGGGAACGCAAATCCCGGGAGTGCCGGAGGGGTGGGACCATATGGGCTGCCATAGGCGCTGCTGCGATACAAAGACTTCTCGATTCTCAATCATAGTTTTCGGTGTTGAACCAGGAATCTGTCCATCTAATATAGACCCCCCAGACATGATTGAAACATCCGACTTAAATGTCCATATTTGGTCAAGGAAAATGCCTTGAGGGACAGTTGTTTGAGGCCTTTGGTCCAGGATGGCCCTTCGAGCGTCCGAGTGCAGGATTGGGGGGGGCTGTAGATGTTTCGATGCTTTTTTTGTTACGAGTAGCTTGTGGCTACTAGTAGCAAGGTGCCGTAGTAACAAGCTACTAAAAATTTGCTACTAGTAGCGATACACTTGTTGCTACTAGCGATGCACTTATTGCGAGTGTCCAATTTGCGTGCTCCGTGCTCCGTGCAGCTCCCAAACCAGCCGAGCCAGCCCGGGTCGTGTACCTCAAGAAAGCACCCAATTCAAAACAACGCGTGTCGGACACCCCTAAAGACCGTTTCTCATGTTTTTTCCTTTACATAAATGGTTTCTTAATTGTCCCCTTTACTTTGTACTACTCCACTACACCCCAGGTCTTTGGGGGGGACGTTTTCTTTATTAGGTACCTTGACACCCCCTCCCCCACCGCTGGCCTCGCTTTTTGCTTGTTTGGGCTGTCTGATCTGTCTCTCCTAGGCAGATTGAGATCCTCTTGTCCCAATCCCACAAACATGCCAGCATGCGCGCCTGCCCTGTCTGAGCTGTCTGGGCTGTCTCTGTCTCACTCTCCGGGTACCATTTCAAGACGCCACGTCCTCCGACTCGCGACCCTGTCACCCTGTCTGGTTGGCGACCAAAACCTGGCCTGGCTTTACAACCCGAAGACCTGGGTCCTATCCCATTTTGGGGACTCCCTATGAAGAACAACGACACCAGAGGTTTTTCAATAGGGGGAGAGCCGTGTGTGTCTTTTCTTTCTTGGTTCATTGGAGTGAACTGTGGAGCTTTCTTGCTTCTTTTGGTTTGAAGATTCATTTCGAAAGCGCGGTGTGAAAAACATCAATGCACCGTGGTTTCTGCCCTTGTTTTGGTCCCACCCGGTCAGGTGGAGCGATTACAGAACTGTGGGGTGCTTGGCCTACGGTGTGTTCTTGAGGCGAACCGGAGCTGTGTGGCGGAGCTGGGGATTCTTCGCTCCTTTGGTCAATCAACCCAGATCGATTCCTTTGGCCAAGTCGGTCTCTTTCGCTTTCGCAGCGTTCGTGTTTCGTGTTTTAAAGCCTTTGGCTTGTTCTCGATCGAAGCACTGGAATGCGCTCACAGACCTAGGATGTGTTCCTTCAAACGGGATCTGATTTGTCCGTTTCCAGTCAAACAAGCTTCGTTTTTTTGGGGAGGTGGAGTTTGGGACAGGCCCACAAGACGAGGATTGCCAGACGCGTGTCCAGCCACTAGCCACAGACGCTGGGTAAGTGTTCATACCGAAGTTTGCTCAATACAAAGCATTTTTGTTACACCCTGAAATAATCATGGAAATGGAAAACCACCTGTTTGTGGGGGAACATGGTCATCCACAGGGCCATTTTCTCATCCACGTAACGATTCTTCCAGGGAGTGTACCTATTGAAGTGATCTTGAAACACCCGGGAGACGTTCCTCCCGGGTCCTCCCCCGGTCCTTGTAGCACTGCCGCGAGCCTCGGCGTCTCTCCACGGCGACAGCACTGAGAGGGTTCTCACCCCAAACGGTTTTCGACGCACAGCCACAACCGTGACCAGCCCAGAAGTCAGACTGGTCTTTGTGAAGACGAAGAGAAGCACACATGACATCAACGTCTAGGGGTGATAAAGGGATGGCTACCAGTCTACCAGTGGATGATTTTGGGGTTGCCTGGTTTCAGGTTTGTTCACTCACTTGTGTCCCAAAAGAATCCGGATCAGCGGAATGAGGGGCAGAGTCAGACAAATGCACAGACACGATGCATGGAAGGTCGGTCGGTCAGGTGTCTTCGTCAAACCCGCTCGAAGACGAGCAACCTTTTGCGTGAACGTCAGGGATGAGTCATGAGCTGTCAGAGTCGTCAGAGCCAAGAATATACAGCATTTTGGTCAAACATGTCAAAAGGTTGCACTGGTGCTTGGCTGCTTGACATTCCACAGAGGAGTCAGACGTGCAACAGACCATCTACGAAGAGCGAATCTCTATAACTTGGGAGATTGGAGACTTGAGCATGGGTGTTGCTGGTATAGGCTTGTGATGGCTTGTATGGAAGTTATATCACTACCATGTTTGTGTACAACAGAATCTTCAAGAGCATCGAAATCCCTGGACAGCTGTCCATAGGACATGGCATTTTTCCTTCCAATTTACGTTGGATGTGTAAAAACCCACAGGCTCCACTGGAGGATGGTTTGGAGGTGCCTCAAGGGGGCTGGGGCTGAGGAGCGGGGAAGAACGTCGTGTTGGTTTGTTCATGATCAGTACTACAATCAGCTAACGGCAAAGCTTTGCTTGCTTGGAGTTCGTGACATGAATTTACATACACGATGGGGATCCAAAGAGAATTGCATGGGTTTGCTGGGAAGTTCTGCAACAAGAACGAGTCCACAGGGCTGGTGGGAACATTTCGTGTGAGTTGTCTTGAGCCCTTGTGCCCCCGCCCTGCTTGTTTCAAGCCTTGTAATTACAAGGCTTACAATCACTGTTTGTTGCTTCAAAGAAGAGAACCACCAAACGCCGACACCACCTGCTGCGAAGATGGTGGGAAGATCCCACACATTACTTGGAAGAGGGTCTCATCCTGGAGCCCATGTATCAGAATGACCCCGTTGCCAGGACGTTGAACGAGCAAGGGAGTACCTGACAAGTAGCCTAGTAGCCTGGCAGCCTGCTGTTCAGTATTTCATCCCAAGAGTGTTGAAGTCTTTGCCCTGGTTTGCACCTCCATTCCACTGTCTGTTGCGTGTTTGGATCCTACTTGGGTGGTAGAGAAAATCGGGCCTTTTCCAGCTTGTCCAGCATGGGAGCCCTTTGAACCAGTACGTCTAGTACGGCAGTTGTGAAGAGCTGAGCAACCACGAAAAACCGAAAGGATCCTTTCGGGATGAAAGATGTTGCAGAATCTGGCTCTCGAGCCCGGGTTTGAAGAGGACAAGTTGTGCTGTGAAAATTGGGCACCCACTATCCAACTTGAAAGGACCAGGGATGTCACAGGGATGTCATAACCATCCTTCCAAAAAGATGCATGACAAGTACCAATCCTAACATGAAACACCATGCAATCCTAACACTCTCCTAGACCCACCACCCTTCAATAGAAGGTCGTTTTCTTATGTTTTGTTTTGTTTTCACAAAAAGAACGACCCGCTGGTGGTGAAACAACTCGTCAGGACTGGCTCGACCTCTCCACACCGGAGAAAAATGCCTCGCGATGGGTAGCGAAGGATGCGCGTCTTGGCGAGCAACACATGATCTTGACGCCAATTTTACTCACGGGTGAGTCTCAAGAAATCGACGGGGGTGTTTTTTGGGAAGGTGCTTCAAACGAGACACTCAGGGTGTAGAATAGAGTATAAGATAGCTATCAAAGATGAGTCTCAAGTCTTAAGCCAGGTCCTGTTAGTAAAGGCCGATGACTGCGAGTCGGGTCCCACCTTACGACTCGCCCTTGGCGTCTCGGGCGAATGTTCCGAACGCGATGCGATCTCGAACTGTCTCGGACTGGAACGCAGCGAAGGTTGTAATCGACACAACAAGTGTATCTGAAAGCGAATGTGTTTTTTTCGACACAACAAGCGGACATGAGAGTGTTTCCCTGCAAACAACGTCGTTCCTTGAAAGGCCCTGTCAGTCATTTCGACTTCGTTTGGATGTCCATGTCTCACTCCGGAGTCACAAAATCACTCGCCTGTGATATGGAAGGGTTCAAAACGACCAGCCTCACTCTAAAGACTCTGATTATGAAGATGCTCCAAGCGCCACGACCAGGCTCACCTGAGCAGTGCTTCTCATTCACAGAAAACAGCCCCTTTTTCCGGTGAGCCCTCCGACGCGGCGTTTTCTCCCGCGCGCGCGGGTCGCCCGCGTGTGAAGGGCTCCAAAGAACACGTGGTGGTGCCGGCTCGCTCCGCCTTCGTGTCGTTCGTGATCACAAGGCTCTTGATGTTCGACTCCGTCCTTGTGAAGTAAACTTCTCGCGGAGGCGACGCCAGATCGATGGGTGAGGGGGGTCGCGGCGGATGGTGTGACGAAACCGAGCTGATGAGCTGAAACCGCGCCGAAGGGGCCATGTGTCAGTTCGTCTTTAGACGACCCAGACGACTTGGTATCGCTCCGGACGACCTATTTGGCTCGCCTCTTCGCCGGGATCGCAAAGCGCAAATGGCATCAGTCACCGTTAGAAGCATCTTTCATTGGAGAGAGCCTGTCTTCAAGTTTTAAACATGTCACAAAAGTCATCAACATAGTAAATAGTCGGTGCCAAGAGTCAAAGTCAAAAAATGCCAAATCAGAAAGTTTCAGAACGTGAAAAAAACGTCAATTGGCCCAGATCCGACATTGTTTTGACTTTTATTTGACTTTGGGTTGTTTTCTGATCGTTTTTTACTTTTCTACGACTTTGTTTCTGACTTTTTTTGACTGTTTCGAGTTGTTTTCTAATTTTGTCTTTTGTTTGACTGTGAGACTTTTTTGACTTGTGTGTGACTTTTTCTTTTTGGACTTTTCTTTGTCTCTTTTTTTTTTGAATGTTTCGAGTTAACATTCCAATTTTGACATTATTTTTGACAGTTTTCTGACTTCTTTTACTTTTCCAGTTGACATTCTTTTGACTTTGACTCTTCCATTTGACTTTTTGTTGATATTTTTTCGACATTTTTTTTATATCAAGGGATCCTGGCCTTACCATAAAGAATCTTTTAAGAGGTCTGGGCACAGCAGAGGTCCGAAGGACAGAAACTCCGTTTCCCTCCGTCTGGAAGATGGTTTATCCACATCGTCATACGTAAAGAACAAGACACTGGGCCACATGTCCTGGCTCAGCGGAGGATTTCAGGTGCGTGGAACGTCCCCCAAACTCGACCGGTGCAAACCGTGGTCGACGAAACACCCATGAAACACCTGAGAACTGGCTGTGACTTCAAAAGAGACCTGGTCGCCAACTCACACCATACCTTTAGAACCCTTTAGAATCACACCTTGACTGGCTCTTAGTGTTTGAACCGTTCACCGACTCTGTTCAGAGATAAGATAACGGTATTTGTTGTCCATCATGTTCCACACTTCTTTGTCGTGGACAAGCCTTTCAATGGTCCGTACGGAAAGAAGTCCTTCGATCACGGCCGCTTCACCTTTGGAATGTTTGAAGACAACTGTATAAGTGAACCAAAAGAATGTCACCCCAACTGATCACATGCTTTTTTCTCGGGTGCAGTACACAAAAAAACAGACTGGCTGCCTGCAAAGGAGCCTGGAGTAAACATCAACTCAGGCATCCAAACTGGTCGCCTCAGACACCGCCTGCAGGCTTTTGGTCTTGGGCTGTGTCTGAACGCGCACCCGTCGACGTCTCACAGCCTGCGAACGAGCACGGCCCTGAGGAGTGCTGGGCTGCAGCGAAGGGCGGGAGGGGATGTCACGGTGGTATACGGATTTCACACACGTGGTGTGTTGATGTCAAACGAGTTGATGGCGTGCAAGCCACTTGTCTTCAAGACACAGATCAAGTTCACAACTGTTTCTTCAGTAGAGCATCTTTTTTCATAGCTTAACATCAAAGTTCAAGAGAGCATGTACATGTTTACTCGCTTGCTGTTGTTGCATCTATTGGCAGAAGTGGGAGAAACAGACAGAGACATCATGAGATATCATGAGTTAGTTTTTATTTTTTTCGTTTCTCATGGCTCGTGGCTCACGAAGATTCACCACCTGGAGAGAGACACCTGGCTTAGGAGCACTAGGTGTGGAAGCATTGGTGTTTCAGTTTTGAGCCTTGCAGATCCGCAGAAGACCTCATGACATATATCACTCATGGAGTTTTCTTTCTTTTTAAAGTATTTTCTTCCAGAAGGACGCTACTAGGGGCTCCTGGCCTTACTACTAGGAACAAGAAGCTACTAGGGGCTCCTGGCATCGCTACACCGCGGGGCTCCTTGGGTCATGGCCTCCAACCTAAGAGCAATGGCGTCCAACCTAATAACGATGGCCTCCAACCTAGTAGCTTCTTGTTACTAGTAGCGATGGCCTCCAACCGACCTTCCTGCCGCTGTAAGCCTGGTGCTGCCCGAGCTTCACAGCTTCGCCGAGTTTCGCCACATGCGAACCCACGCTGGTGCAGCGGAAGGTCGACAGAAACACACGAAGTTGATGCAGCGGAAGGGATGGGCATTCTCAGAAGATTTCATTCACAAGCATTCTTTGCCAAATGCCAGGACATCGCGCCATTTCAGGGTTTCTTTTCGTTATCAGACTTTAGCCGCCCTTTGGGATCTTTCTGCTAAGCAGTGTCAGCTTTGGTGTCACATTTGTTCGGGGTCGGATGGACCTAGCCTCGCGGTTCAGACGATCACAGCGAGAGGGCAGCACAGATGATCAGGAGGTGAAACGTCGGTGGCTTTGGCCGAAGCTCCCAACACGGATTCTTTAAAGGTGTGGGCGCAAAACCAATGCTCCCCCAAAAGGCTTAGCTTACAAACTCACATAGCCTTTTTTTAATCTTCCCTTGACACATTTGCTGTGGAGAAGTGCCTCCAAGGCCTTTGCCCAAGGGGTCCTGGCACGTTTCTAGTGCAACCGGACTCGGTCCTTCCAAGAAAGCGGATTTTAGACCGTCAGCTGAACCAGCCACAGCCGTGTCCACGTGTATTTCATACCTGCCACCGCCCAGGGTTGCCCTCCATCGACACATCCCCCCCCATCGGGGTGCTGCCATCATCCGGACGGGCCCCGCATCAGAAAGGTTTAGGGTTTAGGTCTCGAAGGATCCACCCCACTGGTCTCCTCAAGCCGCTCCGGACTCGGGAATGGCTGAGACACTTCAGCGGACGAGTGGAGAGTCCCCCCAAGACGCGCCCGGGGCCCGCGCTCTCGACAGGAGCCCCCGTTCGTAGCGTCCTTGTTCCGTTCGAGTCGCGATGCCCGAACAAATGCTCCGTCCGTAGCGATGCCCTGATCGCTCCGAACGTAGTAAGGCCAGCCCCGAGGAAGTAGCGAACCTTGTTCCGTTCGTAGCCCAGTCCTAACACTTCCCCCACCAAACCTGACTCCGAACTTGGGAGCTCCGAACTTCGAACCAAGACTCTCGGGCTCCTGGTGAACACCACTGACCGACCGGTCCGGTGGTCCACCGAACACCACCGAACATTGACCGACTAGGGGTCCAGCAGAGAACAGGGTGAACTTCAGGAAGTGGACTGAATGGAAGGGTCTGGTCGAACACCACTTTACCAAAACAGAAACACCACCACCTGCAAGTAACAAGAAAGCAGTACTCCGCCTAAGGTCTTTGCCCAAACTTTCTAACCATCGTTTGACCACAAATTGCAGTCAGCCACGTCCTTGTTCAGACTTTGACTGCACTCTTGACGGTCAATCTTAATGGTCAATTGTGCTGCTTCTTCATCCCACAGCTCCGGACTGTCATGCGACATGTGGATGAAAACAGAAGACCTCTAAACAATTGTCTTTGTAGTTTGCATCCACCACTAGTAGCACCCTGAACATCTGGGTCAAGAATCCACCAAGCCTTGGCAAAACACGCAACGCTCCGCCGCCGGCAGAACACGCTCGATCCCCGCAGACCACGATAGGGACCGGACCTGGGCGGTGACCCCCGATGTCGAACGCCATTTCTTCTGCATGTCCCCGGCCGAGCCGATCAAAAAGATCGATGTGACCATGCCCTCGAATTCTAGGGGATGTGCGCGAAAACGATGTGGAGAGTTCTTCAGCTTTTTCACGAGGTTTCTCTGGACTGAAGGATATCTCAAACATGATGTTTAGGAGTCCAATAATTTCCGCCAAGTTCGTGTTTTGAAGAAGCGACAGCTGCGATTTTTGAATGCCCGGAGATCCTGATTCTCAGCTGGTAATCCCTCCCATTTGAGATTCGTGCACCACATCCAACGAGTCTCCCCTCAACCTCAGTTCCGTGTACAGTTTTCATGATTCCACCAGACTATTCCGATGGACCACCCAAATAACCAGGTTGGTTGAACTCTTCCCTGCATTCACCAGGCTGTTTGACATTTCTCCGCGATCCTTTCTTCACAGTTTGTTGTTCTTTTCTTCTCCCGGTGTTGCTTTTGGCCTATCCTCCCCGGTACGGAGAATTTTCAGAACGCCTTCTCGGATTTTTGACTGCACTATGGCGCCATCCCCGCATTTATCCACAGCAGAGGGTGGCAGCTCTGGGAGAGAAGGCTCACTTTGCGAGACATCCCATCGACTGAGAGCAGATTGGAGGCGTTTCAATAGGTTTCTTTGGGTTTGCGGAGGATACGGAAGACAAATCCCACATATTTCTAGGGTCTCGTGGTTCCACTACGCAGGTCCTGGCTTCCTTTGAAGTGTTTGACGAAGCAAACGTTTGAGATTCATTTGGAGGTTCATTAATCTTCCCCATGGCCACTTCTGGTTCTTGGAAACACTCGTTTTGCCCAACACATACAACTCGTTAGAGCGTTTGTGCCGTGCCTCAGCACGTGGAAGATCATCTCATCAAACAGGAAGCAGCCGCGCCTGGAACGCAGCTGAAAGGGTTCCTCTTTGGGTCTGTCCTAGGTTGACCTGTAACAGCCGGAATTCATGGGCTTGCAACTTCGAGTATCGAGTTTATCCCCCGGCTGCGTCATGACACATGATGACGGGATGTTTGTTCAAGGGCTTCGTGTTGCGCTTTGGCTCCAACGGAATTGCAGAGTTCATACCAGGGTCCAGGGCTGCCAAGACGAACTAACAAATCTCTTGATTCATCTTGATTCTCAAATTAGGTGAACTACTCCACGAACTCAAATCTTTCAACATCCATCACGTATCAACCATGTATCGCCTCAGGTATCATTGTAGCAAAAACCCTGTGACGGCACATTCTGGGACCTCCAACTGACCAGCAACTTCTCTCCCCGACCAGCTGCTTTGTGAAGTCTTCGCCCGCCCGACCCGTTCTTCGACCGTCGAACACCCGCCTCTCGGAGGGGCGAGAGGCCCCTCTGTCGAACGGGGTGACCGGTCGAAGCGGCGGTCGAAGTGGTCGAAGCTGCGGCGGATCCGACCCGGTCGAGACAGACGCCTCCAGAGCTGGAAGAGCCGTAGCGGTACGTACGACTCAACTGGCGGTCTAAGCTGGTAGAAGTGGTTGGTCAAAACTCGTGGTGGTCCAAGCTGAACATCATGGTGGGCAGGGATAACTTGGGCAGCTAATTACTATCATTATCATCATTGGAAATTAAGAAATCCCGACGGTGGGAAATGCTTGTGAACACTTGACAGACATGAATTAAACGAATTAAATACGGTTCTGTGCGAAAATGTTGATCTAAAGTCGGCCACGCGCAATCTTGCTTCATATTGCACACGCTGATCAACATTGGGAATTAAGTCTGGCAGACGAACCGCAAGAACAGGACGTTTGGATGCATGTGCTTCTAAGGTGATGTTGAAAGAACTTCAGTGTGCGTGCAGGTCATGTTCTTTTTTTGGGTTTCTCACCGTCTCTTCTCAACCGCAACGGGTGAGACCAAGCTGTCGATGCTTTCGATCGCTTCGGATACCGTCCGTGAAACGCACCGTCGAGACACGGGACCCGTCCGTGAAACGCACGTCGTCACGCGTACGGGTTTCACTGTTTCGTTTCGACCACGCCAGGTGGACTTGGGAGGATTGATTCAGTCATACCATGCTTGTTACCATGCTTGCCACTTGCGCAGCGGCGCAGCCGACTGGTCGCGAAGCTGTTGGCCTCACATGACTTGGCTCCAGTCGGAACCGGGTCGCCTCCGAGCAAAAGCGCGAGAAGAGACGGAAGCTGAGATTAAAACCATGGAGACGTGGCGAGGACGTCCGCATGAAATTCAAGAGCCGAGCCTGAAGTACAGGTCTATTTGGAAGACCAGTCTTTTAGAACATGGGTCTATCCGAACCTATCATGCGTGGTAATGAGGGTATTCTTTTTTTTGTCGAAGGACAATGCTTCATTCATGTGAATTTGTATTTGACTGACTTTTCTTCAATCTATACCTTAATATATAAAGACTTGTATTCTATTGTGTACTGCCGACCTCAAACCCATTTGGAAAGTGTGACCTTCCAAGACTGAAAACAACGAACCACAAGACACGTGTGCCTCCAAAAGACGAGTCGTGTTCCTTCTTGAGGACCCAACTTCTCCACGATTCTATACGATCCTATATTTGTTTCAATCCGTATACGGTAGAGACTTATCCACCTTATACAGACGCAAGTACCTTCTGATTTCCCTCCCTTGAGATCACGCCTTTCGATCCGTTCACGAATCCGGCTTTGTTCAGGGGCCCAGGTGACGTGGTGATGACACCAACCCAACGCTCTCAGGACTCGAACACGCAGAGAACCTGTCCTTTTGTTGGCGGCTGAAAGGCGCAAGGTGGGTCATTCCCAACCGCCTTGCCAAGTAGTAAAGGACCTTGAGATCACATTCTTGTGTTCCAGATTCCTCAGCATGAAAAGGGGTGGTGTCAAAGCCCAGGTTTGGTGCCTATCTCCCGTGATGAGTAGCTAATTCCGGACACAAAGCCCCCAAACGAGCCCCCAAACGAGCCCTCTGGTTAGTTGAACATCACGTCAAGATCACACGAGCCATCTGATCCACCGAAACGAACCCAAGAACGTCCCTGAAGACCTGGTGACCGAGTTCCACCAAGTTCGACCGAGTGAACAGTGTTTTGGGTGACGTGAACGGTGAACGCCATGTGAACGCCTCCTTCGCCAACGTGCCATGGTAGCCTGTCGCCATGTGACTCTTGCGGCCAGAGACCATGAAGTTCTTGGAGCAAAAAAGGTCGTTTTGGGAAGGCCGAATTCCGAAGCACCCATGGCGTTTTTGCCTGAATTCCGATTCGACCCATGGCTTTTTACGAAGGGCTTTACACTACAACACCAGTTCGTACCACCCACGGCTGGGGGCTTTGGGCTTTTCTCCCGTGTTTTCTTCGGTCGGACCGACCGGTGCGTTCGCACACGTTCGCATCTCGAGAAGTGGACGGTGTGGGCATCGACTGAAGCGATTCCTTCGTCTTGGGGATGTCAATCTGTCACGGGTGTGGGGGGAGGTGACGAGTTGACAGCCAGATGTGGGGGGATGTCAACGCAGCTGGTGAAGCCACACAGCCAGATGTGTTGGCGGCCATTGATTTGATCGGCAGAAGTTCGACTGGGATTTGAAACAGTCTAGGGTGTTGGCCCACAATTACCCAGTAACAGTCAGCAACAGATGATCACTATTGTAGAGATCGCGGCCTGCAAGAAAAGGCTCCATCCTCATCCTCTGGGCCCTGGTAATGGGATACCCCAAACCAGTCCCTTTCAATCCCCCTTCACCCATGCTTCTCTTTGGATTCCTGTGTGTCCGGTGTCTGGGATGACGCAGCGCACCACTCCCCATCTCCAGCCGGCCGTGGTGAATAAAAAAAAGGGAATAAAAGCAGGGAGAGAGCGTGGCAGGGAGAGAGCGTAGTTGGAATCCATGTCTTTTTCATGTTTGCTTGAAAAAAGGCACCGGAGAAGGCTCAGCACGCACCAAGAAGAGACTCAAAAGGCACCGGAGAGGCCACCACTCGTGCGTGCGTTCCACTCGCTCGCGGATGAGCGAGCGGACGACGAGACTCGTGGGTTGGTTGGTCGTTGGTCGTCCCAGGACCCGATACATTCGGGACCCGGTTTTGGAAGGCCTGCCATTGGGGAACTTCAATGCCCTAGAGGAGCGGAGCGAGGTATCTGGCAGCCGTGCTGAAGAGCCTGAGGTGCGCGTTTCTGGAGAGAGAGAGAGAGAGAGATGAGGGCAGATGAGTGAGATTTTTTTGGTGATGCCAGGTGGATGAGGTATCTTGAATATTGAAGGATTCTTTGCAGGTATGATTTTTTGGGGAGTTGTATCATCTGGTATCTGCCCTACGCATCTGAACCCTCTAAATTGAACGGGAACCCGAAGGCAGACTGGAAGATGACCATGTACTTTGGGCACCATGGGCAACTGTTGAGCCGGGTCGATCATTTCCCGGGTACTTCTTAGATCTTCTTACCTTCGCGTTCGAGTGAAATAGCGAGCTGGGCTGTGTGTGACTGTCTGGTGTCTAGGAATCCCTCTTTCCACGTGGTCCACGCAGGCCCCCACCCCACGCCACCAGTAGACCCGCCAGTGTCCAGTGTCCGGCCGGATGCGTGACCCGTGTCCAGTGACGTCAGTGGCCATTCTCCTCGTCCCAGCTGGGACCGGACCTCGAAAACCCCGAGACGGACGTTTCACCGCCTATCTGCTCTTCTCCTCTTCGGATGAATCGGTCGGATGAATCGGTCTTCTGCAGCCAATTTGAGATGGGTGAAGGAGAAAAAGCCAAGCTCCCAGTTTCACCCACTGGCTTCGGTGAAGCTTCGACCAGTCGACCATCCCTCTTCCGATCCTCGGAGCCCAAGACTTCTTTAGCCCGACGGCTGAGCGGAGTGTTTACTGAACAGGCGAGTGAAATGGTGGGTGATTTGATGATCTACGAGATCTGCTGCAGACAATGAGTTCTTCACCGAATTCTATTCCACTTCTCTGTTGTTTTCGGCCAGCTGAAGGGCTCAACAGAACACCAAGTTGATCCGAACCCAATCCAAAAGGCGACGCATCGCATTCCAACAGCATGGTTTACCTTCGACCCCCCGGGTCAGCAGGGCAAAGCAGCAGAGTCTTTCAGCTGATGTGGTGCCCCGGCATGCCCCAGGTTCCCCTCAGCTTGGGGCGGTTCCCTTGGGACGCACCGCACCAATCCTCAGGTGGAGGAGGACCCGGATATGGAGGACTTCGCCTTCTTTGCCGCTGGAGCGCAAGGAGATTGAAGGCATCGTTATACAGAAATGGGAGTCACAAGACGGGGTGGTGTTTAGTCCCCAAGTGAGTGGAGTAGCTGGGCACCCCGACTACCTCCATGGATAGCACCCCGTCTTGTTACAGAAATGGGAGGCTTTTTTCTTGGAGATGAATTGGTATTGATGTGAATGATGCGGGGCCGGTCTCCACTTGGCCACCACCGTGGACCTGGTGTTGGACCGGCCACCCGGACGGAGATCGCAGAGGAAGGAGCTTCGGCTCGGCAAGTCATGTTGAAGGACTCTGAGATCATCTCTGCCTGGCAGTACGAGTACTGCCCATGTCTCTTTGGGGAAGAAGCTCCTCTCCTCCAAAGGACCAGATGAAAAGGAGAACGGACTTCTCCATGCTGAAGTCCGAAAACCCCAAGGTTCAGAACCCAGGACACCACCGGAGAGGTCGAGTCGAACGGTCAGTCCGGCGCTTGCTTCTCCCTTGTGTTTTTACCTTCTTTTGGGGGGGGCGCGAAGAAAGAGGACCATGTTCAACTCCACCTCAAGAAACCGTCCTGTCTTTTTCGAAAAACGTGCTGGGCCGAGGCGGGTCTCACGGAGACGACAGGGGAGCCCGAAGCCTGTGAGTTGGAGGTGCGGGGGGCTTGCATCACGGTCACCGTGCGAAGGGCGGTGGATTCCGGAAGGTGTGGATTCCGGTCTGGTGGAGTGCTCAGGAGGGGTTTGAGCACCCGGAGGGAGGGAGCATCTTCTTTTTGGGTGAATGATAGCTTTGAATGGAGCTTTTGATTCATGTCATGTCATGTATTCAGCTAATGACTAATGTCAACATAGGATTAAGTAACCACTCCAGTAACCACCCCCTATTAATCAATCCCAGCTCGAACCCCCCAATACTAAACTAATTTAAAACCTGAACCCCAATCCCCCTAATAATTTTTTCCTGGCCAGAAACCTCCCCCTATTAATCAATCCCAGCTGCCCCAGAAATAATACTTTACTATTACTATTATAACTGTTTATGGTTCTTTATTCTTTATTTTCTTTTGTATTATATAACATCTTCTGGTCCATGGTGAAACTGATCGTCTGATCCATCCGTGTCTTATGCCATCTCTTTGAGAGATAGCATTCTGATCCACCCTTTTCCTATGCTGATCCTCTCATCCATCAATCATTCTGATCATTCTGCTTGCTCTTCTCATCCTTCCCAGCAGCAATCTCCTCATCTTCCTGATTCTCACCACCACCTCTCAACTGCCTCATCCTGCTCACCAATCCTTTTGATGGCTTCTCCTAAGGGCTCACGCTACCAACCATCCCCCAAAATCTCTAGCGAACTTCTTTAATGTTCACCTTTTAAAACTCTATCAACATCTTGAGGTTTTCAAACTCACAAAGGGTACCCCTCACACAGGCCCTACCTCCCCCCACTAGTAGGACATCCTCCCCCTATTAATCAATCTCACCCTCTGGCCTCATTCTTATTCTCCATTGCTTTCATCCTGCAATCCTCATCAGATCTCTTGTGCCAATACACTCAGCGCCTTTATGGTTTTCATGATTCAAACTCTCATGATTTCCACCCAATCCCATCAACCATCACCCATCATCAGGTGGTCCTCATCTCATTATCCATCATCAGGTCATCACCTTTATCAGGGGGATGTGGTCCCCCCAATACCTCCAATCTCAGACCTTGTTGACCTTGAAGTGGGGGGGCCCGTTGATTAATCCGGTGTTGACATTAGATGAATCATGATGAACCTACCATGAACACGTGGGTTGGTGGTTTTCTTTTCACAAGGTGGGGACATCGTCCGTCCTCCTCTCCAAAACGTTGCGGCTTTCCCCAGCTTTCGAACCGGCGTCGTTTGGATTTGTTTGCGCTTCGGCAGACACTCCCAGGGAGCTGGGACATTTTGACAGTCAAATACGACAGGTGTGTGAATCTTCATCCTTCTCCCATCACCACGCAGAAACATCGAAAACCAGCAACTTTCGAAAACCTGTCAACTGCTCCTTGCCGCTTATACCTTATATATAACATCTTATAACTACGACCTGCAAATCCTAGTTTCTCTGGCTTTTGTTCTTCCTTTCGTTCTGGCTTTAGGAGCCCCCCTGACCTGAGATCGCCTCCAGTGATTACCTGCATGGTTCTTTTTTCATCTTTTTTCCACTGAAAGAAGCAGTCCCATAGACATGGAAGAGCCGGCCCCGACCAGCAGGTGCCGCCCACAGCGTGCCTGGGATGGGAGGGTCTGTGGGCCTACGGCGGGGTGTCGAAGGAGAGTTGATGACTCTCTAGGTCCAATGGCCAGGTGAACCGGCTCCTGAACACCTCATGTTCGGACGCATGTTTGTGGGGCTTTTACCTCCAGTGAGGTCCAACTGACCTGTAGGGCACTGTAGGGTATTTGGGTTTCCATCCGGGTTGGGTGGGTTCAGATTGGGATACTGGTATGATACTGGCATGTATCATCGGTTAAGCTTATCTCCGTGGTGCAGGTTCCCATCAGCCATTAATGATTGTGGACATGGGAATGAACACACTTGGCCAGATTGATGGGTATGAATAGAGCACATGTTCAAAGCACAACGTCTCTTCAACATGGTGGGTCCGTATCTCACACATGACGTTCCTATTGTTTATATCTTTGAAACTTCTGGCCAACCGGCTCCGCCCAACGGATCACGTGGTTGCGTCCGAGGGTTGACCCGACAAGACCTTGCCGCAGAAACGTTTTCAGACAAGTATACTGTATACAGAGGTTTGACCGACACCATTGGGTTTTGGGATTTTTTGGGTCAAGGTAAAGGTTTCATGCGACATCTTTTGGCAGGGCCCTTTCAGAGCAACTCCTGGGTCGCTTGGCCTTTCCTTTTCAAGGGCCGGGTTGGTTCAGTCCAAAGAACCTTTCTTGTTTTTTTCGTCCGAACATGCTAGACAGTTCTTGGTCAGAAACTCTACATTTTCGACCCAGCACATTGTGTGGCCCAGAAGGTCCAATTGGTCGGTGGCTTTCGAACCTACAATTGCCTCTATGTCTTTTTCTTGGCCCTTCTAAATTTCCTGGCAGCGCCTTGCAGCCTGCTTGCGCGCTGGCTTCAACTCAACCATCACTTGACATGGCCCACGCCCACTCCAGCCCACTCCCACTCCACAGTTCCCTCCTCGAATCGGCAAGGTCTTCTTCCTCGAGAGCCTCGGCACCTTTGGCCTTTGCCAACGCGGCGAAGGAGAAACGGCAGGAGGAGGCGAGGCGAGCGGCCGGCTGCGTAGCTCATTCATGGCTGAGAGATGACGATTTGACACAAAGTCAGCGATGACAGCGACGCTTTCAACACATTTGAAGCACTCCAGGTTCTTACGTATATATAGTTCATCTAGACACCCACGTTTCAAGCTGGGGCCTTCAGATGCCTTCAGATGCCTTCAGGTCAAGGAACTTGCAGATCCTTCAACAGAGTAATTCGTGCTTGCACTGGGGTTGAGATGCAACTCTTTTGGTCCGGAAGGAGGAGCTTCGGCAAGAGGAGGAGAGGAAGCGCCAAGAGGTGCGAGAAATGGCGCTGGCGCGGGGCAGTGTCCGAGCGCCCAAAAGAGCGTCCCTTTTGCGGAGAGCATAAGAAGCATGAGTCAATGAAGATTGGACCATTTGGGTGTGTATTAGAAGAGGGTCTGTCTGATTCCCACCAAAATCTGATCAAACTTGAAGACTTTTCGTGGGAATGAAACCGACTGAACCACTAAGCATCATTATTCTTGAATGGGATCTCAAGAAAGCACATACCCAAATGTTCATGGACCTGGACCTGGATTGTGCCGCAGCCTCTGAGACATCAGCGTTTCAGCGCCAATCACGTCCCGAACGTCTCGAGTTCGTCGTGTTCAGCGGAGCGCCATGGCCGGCGGGGGCGGGTTCCGAAGACGTCGCGGTGGGTCCAAAACCCGGAGGGGCCGGGTTGACCACGGAAACATGAAGCGAATCGACACTTAGTAGTGGAGGGTCAACGTGTCCTGACCCACTGTCAGTTCATTGGCCGCCTTGGGTGTGCAGAATGGATGCCAGGAAGAGGAGAGAAGAGAGGAGAAGAGGCGGAAGATTGAGGAAGAGAGGAGAAGAAAGGAGGAAGAGGCGCAGACATCTTGCTTCACAGAACTGGGGGGAACCCAGCGAGCAGTAGGGTGTTATTTCAGCTATCGCTGCTGTTTGCGCCCCCCTCAAAAAGCTCGGGTAGTGCAGGGCAGGGGGTCCTTGGTTGCACTAGTTCATGGTCATCATCAAAAGAAAGATTCCACTCCTGGAAACATCCAGCATCCTTTGACCAGCTTTCAGACACCCAGTCCTCCACCCAGTCCTCCGTCCGGAGGAGGCCCGGGAGCGCGAAAAGAAGCGCCGGGAAGAGGCCATCCGACAGGCCGAGGCGCGCCGCGAGTTCGACGCGACGCGACGTCCAAGTCGGAGAGGCGATGCGGCTGGAACGGGTTCCGGAGACGGATGGATGGATGAGGTTCAGTCGTTGGGGTGGCATCGTTGGGGAACGAGGTGACTGATGGGTGGTGACGGCATCTGAAGTCAGCAGAGCATGGTGAGGTCAATCCATGGGTGACTAGACGGTTCGTTCATTTTTGGGGTGTGAAACGCCAGAGCGTGACATGCCGGGGGAAGAGACACTTTGAGCAGAGGCTCATCACTATCTCTGAGATCTTGTGAGAAGAAGGTATATATATATATATATGTAGATAACTATATAAATCTACAAATAATGTAGACTCTTGACTAATACCCCCCCATTTGAATTGAACATCCTCTTCAAAGGGGGGTTATTAATCTACATTATATATACAAATATATATGCCAGTAAACTTTGGATTCTCCTCCCCCTGACACGACTAATGGGACGGTTGCATATTTACCGATCAGTTGGAGTGAAACTCAAGGGTCGATGTAGGCACATCTTCCATAATCACATGGCCTATCTGGGTATATAGATGTATATACTATATGTTTTCTGCAAAGCAGAGGTTCGTTTAGTGCGTATATTTTTAAATATTGTGTCTTTTGTGATACTTACGTCTGTGGGGGAGAGGCTTAGTTGCTGCCATGGGTCTCTGCTGTTACCGCCTGAATGAACCCGCTTAAACCGACCTTCGGTCTCCCCAGATCTCCATGACCCCAGAACCTGCCCAGTAGAGTCTGTTTCAGGTGACCGTGAAGCGTACTGGGTAAGAGCCTCGTGATCCCTATACGACATCTCGAAAGCGTCCACCGGAAGTCTGGCTTCTGGTGCTGAAGGAACCAAGCAGCATGGAAGAACACATCTAGCCGCTAGCCGTGAGCCCTGCAAATTCGGATCCCACTCAACACCGGCGACGAAGTCATTTCTGGGTCATCGTGATGATACTCTGGCAAGTGACCATCACCATGACCCAGAGTTCCACCCCGTGACCTTTCCCCCTCCTTTTTTCAGCTGCCAGGAGGAGCGTGAGCGCCGTGCTCAGCGGAGAAAGATGGAGGAGGCACAACGGTACGCGCCAGCGGACGTGGATGGCCATGGAGAGAGGTGGACGTCACATGGACGTCCGCTGTTCGTTCTGCATCTCTTCAGTCCAACTTCACTGCTTTCGGTAGGATCCAACGACTCGAGGGGGTTGCTTTTGGTTCTTACCTTTATTCGCCCCAAACAGGGCCTTTTTGGCATGCACCATATTTGGTGTTGGTTTTCTTCTGAGTTTGCTTTGCTGAGCTTTCTCGATGCCCTCCACTTCGTCCACTTCGTCCTCCGTGAGTGCGTCAACTGAGTCATCGCGACTCACCACCGGACTCCCCGAAAATGAAAAGAATGGCGATCCATGCGAGGACACTGAACTAGGCCTAGGCTTTCGGAGACCGTTTCAGTGGATCCTCAAATGGCAACGGAGTGAAGCAAACTCGCCAAGCAAACACAGGAGTCTTTATACCCACTTGTAAGCTTGCCAGACCCCGCCACGCCCCGCAGCATCTGTTTGGGTGAGACCCCGGCGACCGAAACTGCCGCAGGATTGGTCCAACCGGGTGGGTTGGTGGGGTTGCCGCCGCATCGCCCGGGGTGTTTTTTCGTTCGGATTGTCTGGGCGCAGGAGGAGAAGAAACGCACCGAAGCCTCGAGAATCGAGACGGTCAAGAAGCGCGCGGCTCGACGGATGGGGCGGATGCGGCAAATGACGGCGCGGATGCGGCATGGGCATGGGCGGTAGGCCAGGAACTCGGTGGTGGCGGCATTTTTGCTTATTTTATCATTTGTTTTGATGGAGTTGGTGGCATGTTCTATAGTCTTCCCATGTCTTCCCTTTTTCTTACACCATTCGAGTTGTTTTTTTTGGCCCGTTCTGAAGATGAATCACGAGAGAGAGAGAGAGGGAAACTTGACGAAACTCTCCACGACCATACTTGAGAATTACTAGTGATTACTTGTGAGACCATACTAGTAACAGTATGGTTTTTCGCAAGACCCTAGTGATTACTCGCGCAAGACCCTACTTGGTTACTAGCATGGTCTCCCAAACAAGCTGACTAGTGAGACCATACTTTAGGTCCCGTGGACAGCTTGGGGCCAACCGATGACCCTGAAGTGCCAGAGGTTGACGGGTGCCCCAAAGATCGAATGGGACGATCTGTACCTCCCAAGGATTGCGCTCGGGATCTGTGTGGATCGAACCCCCGCCCCTCCAAGTGGTGCGACTGGTTCGCTTAACGAGGGAATAACCCGTTCAAGCAAACAGGATCTTCAATCATGTCATTCCCTGAATGACCCATTCAAGTTGCACGAGTCAGTTCTTTCTGTTTCGATTGGGGCAGGATGCGGCAGGTTGGTCTGATATTCGTTTTTTGGGCGCCCAAAGGCTGCCATTTGGTCCCTTCCAGTGAATTCGCCACCCGGTCCTGAGCAGATTCCAAGATCTCTTCGAGGTACCGGACTGGCGTAGCGAACCCACGGACGTAGCTGGTAGCTGTCAAGCTCTTCAGTGTTGAGTCTAATGTCAAACTGTGAAACACCATGGTGGTTGCAGTCTCAAAGCCCATCATATCGGTGAGTTGAAGCATTGAAATCATCTTCCAGACATACCCAATTTACCCAATGCTCTGGTACACCATGTTGTTTGTAAAACATCACACATGATATCATTGTGTAAAAGTATCTTTTCATCCCAAGGTCCTTCTGGCTGTAGATCTCCATCTGAGGCTGAAGAGATTGAACGACGGCGACAGGCGGAGGAGGAGCCACTTGATCTACACTGAACAGTCACAAGTTGATACGTCAATGACGGTAAAACACCTTCGACCTCTGGGTTGTCTATAGAATTCTATGGCTGACGAGGTGAATTCTGCGACATTTGGCAATGACTCCACTTGAAGCCTCCTCTGACCTCCTCTGGCGAGCCCAACCATGACCCCTTCACCGGGTACGACCGGTCGAGCGGCCGCTGGTGCGGCTCCTGTTGAGCCGGCATATGGTCAGGAGATCAGCTGGCAGTAGTGGAGGGACAGGTGTCAATTCGCACCAAGGACATTCACCAGTGCATCGCTATGAGGAGCAAGGGCATTGCTAGTAACAAGAAGCTGCTAGGGTAGAGGCCATCGCTACTAGGGTTGAGGCCGTTACTACTAGTAACAAGAAGCTACTAGTAACCTTTTGGAGAAGGTCTTCAAATTTGGGACATATTCGCACCAAGGACATTATATTCATTTATACTCGACATCCGTTGAGATGTGGGACATGCAGAGACCAGCTGAAGCATCCTGAAGTTCAGGGATAGTTCCACCGATTCCTTTCAACCAAGTTGGCGAACTGAAAGCGATTCCAAAGCCCAATGGATCCAAATGGACCAACGAACTCCCACTGGCTTGGTCCCCCCAAGGCCGACGTGACTCGGAAGTTTTTCGATATACTTTCCAGTCGGTTGGACTGGAACACCAACCGCCCTCAGGTTCCTGGCCAACGCCGAAGCCCAAAAGAAGGCCCAGGCCGAGAAGCCCGCGCGGCCGGACCACGCGAACTGGAAGTGCTGGAAGTTCGCTCCCCAAGGACGTCGGAGGTCGATTCCTGTTGAGATGGTCGAATCGCTGCCGGAAGGGTTCGCGAACGGGGTGGTACCAAGGTTTGTGTACAGCCGCATGATGAGCAGAACATTCACCCATGGTTAGCTTTTTGGTTTTAAATGTCTGGTCGCTTTCATCCGCTGATAATCAAGTGGTGATTGGTTTAGTATCGTCCATGGAGGAAGTTCGGCCCAAGTTTCAACAGATGTCTCTACATTCTTGCCACCTGGAGTCTCAGTACATACCTCAGAAAGTGAGTACAGATCTACCTGATTTTTAAGGTCATGTCCCACTTTCTGTATAAAAAGAGGTACTTTGGAGGGTCCAGGTATATATACAAAATGCCAAGCGGGTGATTGGGGCGCTGTTTTTTGGCTACGATTCCTGTGGGTCAGCTGTTTCAGCTTGAAAACTTGAAAAACAGGTTCCAAGGCAAATTCCTCCAAAGGTGATGTGAAACTATAAGGCATGGTTGTGGCCGCAATCCGTGCAGATGCAGCTTTGCACAGCGGGGACTATGTAAGAGACTAGGGGGCTGCTAATGCAACTCATGATGTGCAGCCTCGTGCGTTTACAGTCGTACAACATTTTCCAGTTACCACTAGTTCGTGGTCACCGGTGGTTTCAAAGACTAAACTCCGTAGATCTAGAAACCCTGGTTCCTCGTCTTCTTAAATGGTCACTGGGATCCACTGGCTTTTGTTTGACCCTTTTGCCACCTCCGTGGATCTCCGCATTCCATTTGCCCGCCCGGTCAGACTCGATCGTTCTCACCCGGATCGGATGGAGCATGCCAGAGGCCAAGATGGAAGTGAAAGTGCCCAGCAGCCTGCCAGTGGCCGAAGGTGGGAGCAAGACGGGGGGCCAGGGAGCGGAGCTTCTGCAGGTGGGAGCTTGGGCGACCAGCAAAAAAGTTGGTGTTGACCAAGGTGACCATGGAAATCCTGTGTTGACGTGACCATGGAAATGGGATTTGGGGTGGAGTGTATATAGATATATATATATATAGCTGCCTGGAAAACATGCGGGGTGTGATGCTATTGGGAAGAGTGTCAGGTCATGATACTAACAGCTGGGAATGACACCCAGCAAAAGCGAGCAACCCATGACTCATAGATGTAGGTTTCAAGGACCCCAGTGTGTGGCCTTCTTCGGCTAGTGGCCATTCATCCACCTACCACCTTTTCAAAAAGGATCGACGATCTCCACCTCCCCTTTGGCCACCCGCAGGAATGCTTTGACGGGACCAATTCCTCCTAGGTTGGCCCAGTTGCCTCGACTGAAAGTGCTGACTTTGCATGGGAACCGTTTGATGGGATCCCTGCCAGCCACATTTCACACATCAGCACAGCTCCTGTTCTTCTCGGCCTTTTCCAATGACTTCACCCGCGCCCGCGCCCGCGCCAGGCTCCCTGTCGGCGCTCCTGCGCACTGGCGCGCCGGACCTGCGCCGCCCCGCCGAGCCGGCGGAACCGCCGCGGGCGCCGGTGCTGGAACGGCACTCGCGGAGCCCACGCAGGAGCGAGCGACGACTCGACCGAGTGGACGCCAAGGGTTGGGGATTTGAATTGGTGGAGACGGACAGGTGAGACTGCAGTCTATAGTCTTGTGTGACTTGGATGACTTGGATGACTGGATGGTGTATCGCCCAGCTTCTCGTTTCATCGAGCTTTTTGTTTTCCATTCTTACCTGGCGTCTTTTGTTGGGAGGTTTGGCTTTGGGGAGATGGCCATTGTTGGACCCTAAATTGACTGGTGGTGAATGAAAACAACACACCCAAGACCCAAACCAACTTTTTCTTTTCTCCCGGCACTGATGATTAATGCACGGTACGCACAACGCAGGAACAAGCTACAGCAAGAAAAATGGAACACGAATGCACCGTACGCACAAAAGCGAGACACCGAGGGTGTGGCCGACGAAAGAACGCAAAGCTCGTGGCAATTGCGATGATTCGTGCACATCAGACAATGATACAATGTCAATTAGCCAAGTTGGAAATGTAACATCATATCTGACTTTACTTTACAATTCATGTATTTGAGCGCGAAGTACGGATGAGTACGGATGAGTACGGATGAGTACGGATGGATTCGATCCATTTCATCCACCGAGGGGTTCTCCAGACCATCCAGAAGATGTCCCATTTGTGTTGAGGCCCAGGTTGACATCCAACTCATTGACAACCCCCCCAAAGAACCATACAATGTTTGTAGACACCGGCCACTGACCA